CGGCGGCAGCAGCAGCAGCGGCGGCGGCAGTGGTTGGTGCAGCTTATCTCCCGCCGCGCGCAGCACCGTAAGACGCGCTTACGCATCATAGATTCCATTATATTTCTCCTGCTCGCGAACGGCAACATTAGCGTATCTACCAATGGCGCTTTTTATCGTCCCGGCGAAACGTCCCATTTTCCCTATGCTCTGTAAATGCACAACTCTCGCAAATACTCCTACATCTTTGTGTGCTCGCTACAAAAAGCTACAATAATACAGATGCCATTATCTACGTCGTCGCTGAGCCGATAATATGTCCGACCGAATCGATATTCCCGACGCGAGGACGACCTTCTAATTGGACGTCGAATATCGGTATATAAAAGACGACGCCGTCTATTTTCCCGCAATCAGAGCAGCGGTCAGTTCTAATCTTCTCCACAGATCCGTATTGCACGTGTGTACGTACGTGTGAGCGGGTAGGTGTGTTCTCAGGAAATTCTATTATATTCCCGGGCAAAGGAACGCGCTTTAATGCACCTCCGTCGCATTTCGCGAAACCGAATACAACGTCGTCGCGTCGACGACGGTTGTGCTTCAGTCCCCTCGGTCCAGTTCCATCCTCTTCTCGCCGTCCTTCCGCCTTTGTCAGATACGACGACGGAAACGGAAAGGCAAAACCCGCGCGCGAAAAATACACGCGCCAAGACACGCGGCGGCGCAAGCTTCATCCTCTGACATCGCTCTCGCGGTCATGTTTTCGTAATTAATCGGGCGCGATGTTTAACTTTAGGCTTTTAGCGCGGTTTAATATTTCAGAACCGGGCGTTTTTCGCAACGCACCGGGACGAAAGTCGTGTCTGTGCGGCAGAGAGAAATGCGTCGCAATTTTTACGCGCTCGTGTAAGCTGTCAGAAAAAGAAATGAGATGACGCAGCGGGCAACGTTATCTCTCGCGCTTTATTAATGCGATAATCGACGTAAAAATATTGTATAAAAGTGGAATGCATAAAAAAGTCTTTTCTTCTTTCCGGTTTTTTTCTTTTTTTTTTTTTTTGTTTTTTCGCATACAACAGACCGCGCGCGCGCGCGCTAACCTTAATATTCTCATTGTCACAAATCTTAATGTGATTTTGAAAAGCGCGCAAAATTTCTCTCTCGGTCTTCCCCCGCGCGCTAAATTCATTCTGTTATTTCAGTTTTTCATTTCGCATGTTAATTGTCGCGCAAAATTATAAGAAGATTAAATTAACATTTTAAATTAGCAAATTTATAGCCAACTCTCCAAAGTTAAATAAAGGATTGGAAAGTTTGAAACCGGTCTCAAGATCCATTTTCGCTGTCTCTAACGTTATATAATTTTCGACTATTGAGATTTTCGTATCACTCCTATTAAGAAGTTATCTGTTATGGTTGCACGCACACAACGAGAATTTTGTCGAGAAGAGTCGTTTAAGAATAAAATTTTGGATAACGCGTCCCGAAGATTATCGCGCGAAAAATTTACAAGACCGGTGAGGATTTTTCGTCGCGAGCACGCGAATTATATCACTCCGAGCGGTCGCGCGGTGGCGCGGACGTTATTCAGCGCCCGAGTGGACAGTCTCGTTGCATCAATTACGAATATCCATTAGCCTAATTAAGCTTCGCGCGACACGCCACCTTGACGAGAGCGAAATAAAAAAAAAAAAAAAAAAAAAAAAGTAAAAAGAAAAAAAAGGAAAAAAAAACAAACCGTGTCACAAATGAGAAATATACCAACAGTTTATAAAAACGATAAAAGAGAAAAAGTTGAAACAAAAAGTGAAGATTGCACACTGCCGCGGATAAGTTTCGAGAGGGTGTAAACGATATGAGAACGGGGAAGGAAGAATCGATGTAGACGTTTGGGCGAAGAGAGGAGGGGGATGGGTGAGGCGGCAAAATATACTTTCGAAAAGTTTCGACAAAAGCGAAATACAAGCCGCCTTCGCCGCCTTGTGGGAAATTACATGATGAGCTCGGCGGATTACCGTAACCTTCCCAAGTAACTCGCTCTCCCACCTATCTTCGCCCGCCGTTGATCCCCTTTTCCGCTTTGTCGAGTCATTCTCGACCTCCGTCTCATTCCGGGAAGGTTGCGGATCTCCCTTTAACGTCTACCGCAATTTTACCTTGAACGTATTCGAAAAGTATATATCGACGTGCCGTCGCATGGCGGAACGAACGATGATAAATTTGGGGATAAAACCACCTCCTCTGGACGATGAAGCCTTCCACAAGTTTTGGCAAAATCATTCCGATAACGTATATCCGTAGGATATACGGAGAATCTTTTCGTAATTTCATCGCGCTTCAGTTTTTTTTTATCACCCGATATTTCTCTTGAAATTAAAATTAATTCTCTTTCCACGTGTTTAGTTTTACGTTTTTAATTGCAATTGTAATTTTCGCGGGGGATACGTACGTCTGAGATACGAGTAACGCTTTTGAATGCTTGCGATCGTCACAGAACGATAAACTATTTGAACGCGACACACACATGCATAACACACAATAAATGTGGAGAAACTCGCCATCGGGAAAAATTCGGGAGAAAAAGAGAATACGCGAGAGATTTTAAATTGAATTGAGCGTGCTAATGAGTTTCGCAAATTATCGCCGTTTCGCGCCAACGCAAATCGACATGTTCCGGCACTTTTATATCGGAAACAGCAAACCAATTAATAATGACGCGACCTAACAATACTAACTATACTTTTGAACAATTATATTATCAATATAAAAATCCGTGAAAAACGTCATCAAATAATTGACTTATTTAAAATTTCTCCCCGCTTTAACATGGCGGAAAACAAAGAAACGAGCGATTAAAAAGCTGTGAAAAAAAATGATTGTTATTACCGAGCGCATTTTTGTTTGTTTGTTTCTTTTTTTTTTTTTTGATTTTTTTTTTACAATCGTTATTCTCGGAAATAAGTTCTTTCGTGTTTTTTCCGCCTCTCTCCGGCAGATTAATATTCGAACTTACGTATTAGAAGAGCCCCGAAGAGGAAGTTTTCGCGGAGAAAATGACACGTCTGAGACGGCGAATTAATTAGTCGGCGGGCAAACTGATGAAGCCATTAATTACGCCGACGGTTCGAGCAGTTTCCCTTGTCTTGGGGACCACCTTGTAAAGGCGGCGGCCGGTCGAACCCCGAAATCCTGAACGATAAAACCGACGAGCGCCCCGTTGCTCGGGGTGAATCTTGGGACGTTTCGCGAGACGAAACTTGGACGAAACCAGACAATGGTACTCCATTAAGAGCGCTTTCATCTTTGGAACGAAGTCGGTCGAGTAGCTTGACGATCCTCGATACTTAACCTCAGCCATTCCTACGTTTCTCGCTTCCCATCACGAGAGGCCGAGCTTGTAGGTCGGCGATTTTAAATTCAACTCTGATTTTAAGCTCACTTCCTGTGCGAAAGCGCACTACAAGAGATAATCACGGAAAGAGGTTTCCGAACACGTCAGACAACAAGATCGTATTATGAGACAATGCTCAGCGAACACAAAACAATTTTATTATAAAAATAAAACCAAACAAGAATTATGTTTCGTAATAAAAATTGACGATCACTGGCTTTTAACCTTTAAGAAAATAATTTTAACGGAGACAGAAAATGTATCTGTTCCAAATTATTTGAATGTTTCATAAAGATTAAACAGTTTCTGAGACCGTTGAGCCATTTAATAGAAATTATCTCTCGAAACTGCGAGTTTAAAAACTTAATGGACGTATTAATTGTGTTAAATAAATGTCAACTCACCGAACACGCTCTGGAAACGCCGAAACCACCCGGTTTGAATTGCTTCGCGGTGACTCGATGGCGCTGGAAAAAAAAAAAAGTCCATGTTAATATAAAAAGTGTCGTCAAAAACGTTGTGAGATTATCGCAGACGGGAGAGAAAGAGCAATGCATTAAAATGTGAAATTACAGATTCGCGCGCTTTCGCCAGCAAAATTGAAATGTGTTTTTCCAACGTGCGGTACACGCGTATTACGTATTAAACGCAATGACAATGTATATTATATGCCACATTTGGTTACACACATTTCCGTACGCGAATACAAAACGTTTCGTCAAGCTTTTCGTTTGTACTTGCGATCGATAAGTGTCCGAAACGACGCGCACAGATAGCGACGACGTAGTGTGGCAATCACATTTAACAAGTTTTTTCATCCTTCAAGAAAAACAAATACTGCTTTATCGCCACGTCGCAGATCGTACCAAAGTACGGCCATCGGTTGACGTATAAGTTTATTACAAAATATTTAACACGCCCTCTTAAGCTCCACAATTGCGTCGAATATAAGCACACGTATTGTATATATACATATATGTATACGAGAATTACATTAGTAATAACAGAATAACACATTGTTTGTTTATTAGCGAACTGAACAATGCCAGTCTACGGTTGCGTAAACGTACAATCATAGATTATAATCGCATATTTACTCAAGCTTATACGCTGATATGTGAAAGCACACCATTATTTTCGTGTGTACGTGTGCGTGAACGTAATAAAGTGACGAACACAGGAAACGGATATGTTCCTAAAACCACATCTCTCGTCGGTCGATACGCGAGAGAGTATAATTCCTTCGACCGAGACCGGTCGCCTATCGGAACGCGCGTTACGACGCGTTATTCGCAACTTGGAAAAAGTCAAGAGGGAGTCGTAACCGTAACTGGCTTTACGAGTCCGGTCTTGGGGGCCCGGTCACGAATATACCTCGTTCAGGGAACACGGACGAAATCGCACGATGATCCTCCATTAAGCGCGCCTTCCCCTTGGTTCTTCGGACCTGCTCGAGGATTCTCGATTTTCGATGCTTAACCTACCCCAGCGCGGCCATACTTGCTCCTTCGTTGCGGAGAGATGGCGAACAAGCGAGCAAGAAGAGAAAGACAAAGAGAGAAAGAGAGAGAGAGAGAGAGAGAGAGAGAGACGGGAGAAATTGCACGAAGAGGAAGGAACGCGCGAAAGGGGCGGGAAGGTAAGGTGCAGGAACGCTACGTAGGTACTTCCAATTCGATCTGTGGTCTAAGCCTTTAATGCCTGCTTATTCGCTCGCCTGGAAGAGGATCCCGAAGAGGTATCTAAACTTTCCGAACGTTCCCCGAAAGAGAGCTAAACGCCGAACGATTTCGCTCTCGCCGCCACACTCTCGGGAAAATACTTCTTCTTTCTCCCACTGACTAAGTCTCGCGGTAATGGTTGTCGATGGCTGAGTCGAATTACGTCATGCGACACGAGAGATATACGACACGTCTATATAATATAAGCGAGCTGAGAACAAGGAAGCAAATTTTTATTCTTTATTCGGGGGTCAGTTGAGGGAAAATAAACAAATCGTTATCGTTGCGAGACGCAAATATTTCTGCATTAAAACTCATTGAATGTTTCTTACGATCTTATCTATGTGTTAACAAGCGGAGATCGCGCGCACACACACGCACACACACACACACACTTCAACGATTTGGTTGATATCGACATTTCACGTTTATTATTCACATTTCGCCCATGATGTATTTTATCGTCGCGCAAATAGGATGAAATCATTTTATTTCAAAATTTGACTCTCGCACCATTTTCAAATAAACTATACAAATGGAGCGTTTATTTCGGTCTTTTTGTGCGTGTGTGTGCGCGCGCGTGTGTGTGTGTGTGTTAGAAACGAAATTTAAATCTGTGGATCAATTTGAACTTGTGAAACATTTAATAAAAATACTATAAATAACAAATAGTTCGCTCGCGCGTGCTGTGTATGTAAATTGCACGAATTGCAAGTGTAATGCATTTTGCAGTAATTAAGAAGAACGCATCAATAAACGCGAACAATTCATTACGTCAACAGTCAATATGCGACGATTCGAAACGTTTTGTTAAGCAATTCTCCGAGCCGGTTGGGAATAATTCTCGACCGGATATCTTCATCGGCAATGTAGTAAAATCGCGAGCTTTCTCTAACAGAGAGAAAGAAAGAGAGAGAAATAAAGAGAAAGAGCGGGAAAGAGAAACGAGCCCAAAGAGATCGCGGGCATTACAACGTGTACTTCGACATCGACTCGACTTTCCGCTGGAAAGGAAAAAAGATGCGGGCGAGCCGGAAAAAGAGAGGCAAAGCAATCGCGCGCGTTCGCCCTATATCCCGTGGATATCGGCGATTGTGTTTTTTGTCAAGGATCGAAAGTGCCTCGTCTACCCACACCGGTGCGCTTTGACGTTTAACCGGACGCTTATCGATTGCGGAATTTATTTCTTTTCGTATCTCTCCAGTCTCTCCGCCACCATTGTCCACCCCCTTCCCGCTCGTTCTCCCACATTGTTCCTCTCTCTCTCGCTCTCTCTCTTCGCCGCCATCCCTTCTCGTGCATCCCCAATGCCGCCTCTCTTTATCCCGAATCACCCAGACCAGGCAGACCGGTCTCTCATTCCCATTTTGTTTCCGTTCCCCGACGGCTGTACAGATAGGTGAGATTAAGCCCCGCGATGGCGCGGCTGCGGTTATCAGGAGATTGCATTTTAGCATAATGGTTACGCGCGCGAGAGAAAGAGAGAGAGAGAGAGGCCGCATTGTAGCTCCGTTTTGAGGGACGCGCGCCCGTGATGTCGCGCTGTACCGCGTGATGGGTGTCCGGGGCATTTATCATGTACCAGGTACTTTTGCCTCTCCTCCCTTTACTCCCACCTCTCGTTCGCTCACACGCAACGGTCGGTACACACGCGAGTGCGATTTCGTATAAAGTGATTTCTCTTTGCGAAGTGTGTGCGCGCGCGAGAGAGCGAGAGAGAGAGAGAGAAAAGACTGTGTACAGTTTATTACATGTATAGACATTAATCAAATAGAATATATTTGCACGCAAAACTCTCTACGTTGATGACAATTTCTATACCCTATCTCGTCTCTTTCTCTCTCTCTCTTTTATACTTCGCGCGTTATCAAAATTGACACGCGACACTTTTAATCAATTGATGATAATTTGCTAAGTGAAAATTCAACATGCGCGACGTTAAATAATATTTTCACCGCGCATTGCAATTATCGAGCAAACGTTGGCGATTACATTTGTCGAAAGAGTAATTGGCCAGCGCGCGCGCTACTTACGCGGCTAATATTATTAAGGCGAGCGCCGATTTGGTTAATAAGCGCCGTTGTTTGCGTAATACATCAATATCGCGACGACGAACAGACTAGCGCGCGCGCGTCGATAATGCTCGTTCAATTAAACATTTCAAGCTAATTCCGGCCTATATGCCATGCATATGTATGTATACACCGCCGCCGCCGCCGCCGTATACGGTTTCTCTCCGCGCCGGTGCATCCGACGCGGATGTGTATGCTAATCGCTCGTGTCTCCCCAGGTTTGCTCGTTTACACACAACCAGAAAGAGCGGACACGCGAAATACGTGTGTCATACTTAGAGATGCAACATCGATATTCCCGATATATCGAGCCGATACAAACAGAAAGGGAGAAACATCTTTGCTCTCGAAAGCGCATTATATTGATTTCGTCGTCGTCGTCGTCGTTTACGCGAAAGAATACAATCCGTGGGTTTTTTCCGCCTCTCTCACAACTAATTGCCAATTGCGCGAATACCGTGCGAGAGATCAGAGAATCGCTTTCAGAGACGGAGAATATACGGATGTTAATTCGCAAGGAATTACGGCTTGATTTGTATTCACGAGTCTTCTTACATCGTTGTTGCACATTCTCCTAAACCGGTTTCACGTTACTCGATTAATGGCGCGACGCTCCAATTTAGAAGGAGCGGCGCCGATACAGCCTTCCCGGTTACGTCTATGTAATATGTAACAGCAATATTCCCTTCGTATATACTCGCCAGCCCCCGATTAAGACGTAAAACCTTGGTAACGTCCATCGGATACCCATAAAAGTTTTCGATTTCTCCCACATCTCACGCTCGCCTCTTCCCTCCCGTCCTCCGTCCCCCTCCCCCCATCCCTTCACCACCCGGTGGGAAGAGGAGAGATGACGTAGCGCGATTGCATATAATGCGATATCTCTCTCGAGCCGAGATAATATTAATGACCGGTAACCTCGGCGACGCGCGTGCATTCACGCCGCGCCGCGGGGCCGCAGCCGGCACCGAATAAATAATTCAGAATCTACTTCGGCGCGCAGACGGTGGCGGCGGCACGAAAAACTTTTAAATGACTTCTGACGAAAATAGTGGTCTCGGTTGCGGGCATAAGCCGGAACACGCCGACCGGAGTAGGATCACCGAACCCTAGTAGACAGGCGCGGGAGGGCGGGAGGACTGAGAGAGAGAGAGAGAGAGAGAGGCCTGGGCGAGAAGAGGAGAGTCAGGGGAGGAAAACACTCAGCAGCTTGTAAATTTGATTTAGTCGAGCTCTCTGTAGCGTACATCGTATCCTGCGAAGTTACGGTTGCGTGGCTCTCTCGACTGGTTATAACGAATTCGGGATCGGCGAACGCGAGGGACGGCACACGGTCGAGGGACGAGAAATGGATGGAGGGCGAAACTGCGGGGGATGGCGAGGAAGGGAAGAGATGGCCGAGGCACAACGATGCGTCGCGGGTATAATATGCCTCGGCGGACCCGAAAACATGCTCGCGCGTTCGCGCGAATAAACACGCGACAGAGAGAAGGAACGCGAGAGACGGAAAAGGGGAAGGAAAGAGGGGGGGAAAAAAAAGAGGAAGAAATTGGCGGAAATTAATCGGCGTGAATCTCTTTGTTTTTTTGTCGGTGAAAAAACTTTTGTGTATCTCTTCTCTGCGCCCGGGGAGATAAAAATCACGTAAGCAGCAATTACAATGGCGGTCTCGTG